ATTTTAGATGATCTTACTCATGCACCAATCATATTAGGATGCACATTTCTTGCCACAGCCAAAGAAAATATTGATTGTGAAATGAGATTATAAATATAAAATCTGAAGGTCAAACTATCTCTTTAAACATTTTTAAAAGTTCAAGATTTCTACATGAAGATAATGATAATTTTGAAGATATTGATGTGATTGATTCATGCATAGAAGAAATAAATTATGTTCAGCAAGTTGATCAATCAATTCTTCTATTTCATGTTTATGCATTAGATCAAAAATATTATAAAAAGAGACATTAGATCATGACATAACATTTATAGAATCATCTTTAGAGAATCCCTCAAATTTAAAATTAAAAATTCTTCCTCATTTATTGAAATATATTTTTACCAAACTTTACTTGTGATTATCTCTACCTTATTCACTGCTGAACAGGAGAAGAAAATATTAGAGGTTTAATAAGAACATAAGAAAGCAATAGGGTGGACGATGGCTGATCTCAAGGGGATCAGTCCATCAATTTGCATGCATAGAATATATACAGAAGATAATTCGAAACCATCAACAGAAATACAATGTAGGCTGAACCCAAACATGAAACAAGTGGTAAAAAAAGAAATCATTAAATGATTAGATGCTGATATTATTTACCCTATTTCAAGTAGTCAGTGGGTCAGCCCAACACAAGTAGTTCCAAAGAAAGCTGGATTGAAGGTGATCAAAAATAAAAAAGGGGAAGAATCGTAAACAAGACTCACCATAGGATGGAGAGTATGCATTGATTACCACAAGCTTAATGTAGTGACAAAGAAAGATTATTTTCCTTTGCCATTTATTGATCAAATTCTAGAAAGACTTGCAAGTCAAAAATATTTTTGTTTCATAGATGGATTTTCAGGATATAATCAAATAGTAATATTTCTAGAAGACCAAGAGAAAACAACATTCACATGTCCATTTGGAACATATGCATTTAAATGCATGCCCTTTGGTTTATGTAATGCCCTTGTCACATTTCAGAGATGCATGACGTCTATATTTACTGAAATGATTGATGACTTTCCAAAAGTCTTCATGGATGATTTTTCAGTATTTGGTGATTCATTTGATTCATGTCTAAATAATCTTAAGAAAGTACTTAAGAGATGTGAAGAAACTAATCTAGTTCTTAGTTGAGAAAAAAGTCATTTCATAGTTAGAAAATGTATTATTTTATGACATATTGTGAGTGAAAGAGTAATAGAAGTAGATAGAGAAAAAATTGATTCTATTATTAATTTACCTCCACCTACTTCTATTTGTCAAATTAGATCATTTCTAGGACATACTTGTTTCTATAGAAGATTTATCAAGGATTTTTGAAAATTGCTAGACCTCTTACGGCCTTACTTGCTAAAGATATCACTTTTGATTTTGATGAAGCATGTTTAGAAGCTTTTCTATACTTAAGAATGCATTGACCAAGGCACCTATTTTACAATCACCCATTTGGTCAATTCCTTTTGAAATCATGTGTGATGCTTCAAATTATGCATTGGGTGCTGTTTTAGGGCAATGAATTGATAAGAAACTAGTGGTAATTTATTATGCAAGTAGAACAATTTCTGATGCACAAATAAATTATACCACTATGAAAAAAGAATTACTTACAATGGTTTTTACCTTAGAAAAATTTAGATCTTATATCTTAGGATCTAAAGTTATTGTATATTCAGATCACATAGCCCTAAGATATTTGTTGACTAAGAAAGAAACAAAACCACATCTACTTAGATGGATCTTATTATTGCAAGAATTTAACTTAAAGATTCGAGACAAGAAAGGTGTAGAAAATGTAGTAGCTAACCACTTTTCTAGAATTGAAGGGCAAAAAAAGGTTGAATTAAATGATTTATTTCCTAATGAACATATTCTTGCATTGCGTAGTAAGCTCACACCATGATATGCACATATAGTTAATTATTTAGCAATTGGGAAAATCCCATCACATTGGCAAATGGATGAATGCAAACGATTCATTACTCGCATTAAATATTATTTTGGGATGACCTTAATTTATTTCATCTAAGTTCATATCAAATTTTATGAACATGCATTCTTAAAGATGAATAATTTCAAATTTTAGAACATTGTCATTCTTATGGATGTGGGGTCATTTTGCAAGCAAGAAAACAGCAGCAAAAATTTTACAATATGGTTTCTATTGGCCCTCTTTATTTAAAGATTCTCACACATTTTATAGGCAAGATATCAAATACCAAACTGTCATTAACATTAAAAAAAGATGTAATGCTTTTAAAATCAGTAATTGTTGCTGAAATTTTTTATGTTTGGGGCATTGATTTTATAGGACCCTTTCCTTCATCTCGAGGCTATGAATATATTTTTTTAGCTGTTGATTATGTGTTGAAATGGGTAGAAGTTATTCCAACAAGGATAAATGATCATACAATGGTTATCCAATTTGTCCAAAGTAATATTTTTACACAATTTAGATGTCCTAAAGTAATAATTAATGATGGGGGAACTCATTTCATTAATCATCACTTTAAGATGTTACTTAGAAAATATGGTGTTGATCATAAGATAGCTACCCCATATCATCCTCAAACAAATGGACAAGCAGAATTAGCCAATAGAGAAATAAAAAATATTTTACAAAAAGTCGTCTCTCCCAATAGAAAAGATTCGTTTGAAAAATTAAATGATGCATTATGAGCATATAGGACACCATACAAAGCTCATTTAGGTGCATCACCTTATAGATTAGTTTATAGAAAATCGTGTCATTTACTAGTGGAAATTCAACACCGTGCATGTTGGGCTATTAGGAAGCTTAATATGGATACAAAAAAACTAGGTCATAAGAGATTTTTACAATTGCATGAATTTGATGAAATTCGTAATGAAGCTTATGAGAATTCTCTAATTTATAAGGCTAAAGTTATGGATTTTCATAATAAACATATCACTAGAAAAAATCGAGAACAATGACAAAAAGTTTGGTTGTAAAATTCTAAATTAAAATGATTTCTTAAAACATTAGGATCTAGGTGAGATAGTTCATAAGTCTTCATTATCATGAGTTAATAATTAGTAAATAATATAGTTTTAGCCTTAACTCATGATAAATAGACTTATATTTGTGTTAAAGAATGATTTTTGGTTTTCAATTGATTAACGTGAATTTTTGGGTAATTATGTGATTTTATACAATTTTTACAGTCTTACCTTTGAGATAAATGAAGAACAAGAAATAAAAATAAAAAATATTGCAAAATGGGGGGGACCCGCTGGCCAGCCGGGCCCGCGAGCGGGTCGGAAGCGTAGTCGGGGAGTAGCCGCGAGCAGGAGCTCAAGTGGCTTAGCTTGGACCGATAGGGGCACGTGTGCGTCACTCCCCTTCCATGTCACTGGTGGCCAACCAGCTGTGGGGCAAGGAGTGGTCGTACACGCGAGAGAAGGGACTTTGCTTGCAAAGCTAACATTACTATATATTCACCCGAAAAATCGGTGCACAACCGATGTGAGACTAAACCCACGTCACACCTTCCTCATAGGCGGGCGACTACCGCGGGTTCAAATCCTTTTAGAGTCAAAATTCATATATTTTTATTTGATTATCGCAACTTTCTTATAGATGGACAGTGAAGGATTAAGCAACGAGAATCGCTGGATCATCGGCAAAAATCTCGTCAACGCGATTCACAGAGCATTGCTACTAAAATTGTTTAACGATTCGCGATAAAAGGATTGCGAATCCATCGAGTAAATCATCTCCGTTTGATCGACGAACAAGCCGTCGTCGGGAAGAGGATGATCCGCTAGGAGACTAGTCGTCACCTCCTGAGAGCGTACCAGATGCGATGAAGAGCCTCCTCTTGCTGCGCAAACCTGCGGATGAAGCTCCTTGACACGCGCCCCACCTCCATCCAGCTCCTCTCCGTCGGGTGACAGCCGCCGGAGAGCCGTAAAGTCGTTGTTTTTCCGCTCTGTCGGGTGATAGCCACCGGAGACGTTTCGACAACCCACTTCATTGATCTCTAGACTTCGCGAGAAGATCTAGAGATTGCCGACGTCGTCTTTGTCCAAGGAGAGCCTTCGAGGCCGTGGACACTGCACAACGATCCTCCCGAACGTTCAGGATTTTGGTGCATCGCCGACGCATCGCTATCGAGACGCCAGAACTCTATTTTCCTGCTTTCAATTTAATTTACGCTTCATTTTATGATACTTTGTGTGATTTTAATTTACCAAACTATATTTCGGTCAATTACAATTCTTTCGACTTTTACATATCTTAATTTGATTAATTAAGTCATCTGTAATCGCTTACGTAAGTATCACCGAGCGGAACTCTATTTCTACCTGATTCGCGTTCGCTGGGTGTTGACATCATCCTGACGTCCGCACCCTTATTTCCTTTTTTTTGTGAATTTTAAATATATTTCCTTTTTATTTCCTAGTATAAAATTTGTAAGAAAATTGTATTCATTGAGAAAAAATTTGAATAATTACCAGATATTATATTACATCCCTGTGATCGACCTGAAAAATTACCGCTATTTTTGAAATTTTTATTGAATTATAATTGATATATTTATTTAGAAATACTTCTCAATATCCAAAAATTTGTATTTTCTAGTTTTATAAATTTTATATTTGAATGATTTAATATACAACGACTGAGTCACGTCAAATTTTGGTGCCATTGTCGGGGATGTATTGCATAATATTTAATATTTTTCTATTTTTCTCTTAGAGTACACAAAAAAAAAAACTTAACTCTTGTTTGATTTTCTTTTTGCCGATTTTTATTAGAAAAAGGGAACAAAAAGAAGCACGGCAAGGACTGGAGCATCCTGAAGGAGAGTAACAGTTACTAACTTTTTCCCTCGAATTTATTGATTTTTATGCATAGTAGAAGATCCTTGCATCCTAGGCTAGAAAATCCTTTCATTATTTCATTCAAAAATAAAAATCCGAAAGAAAAATTAATTTTGATGGATCTTGAAGGAAGTACAGGTCAAACTGAGAACAATCCTATGGCCATGAAAAATCATTATATCCCTGATTCATTTCAAAGAGCATCTAATATTAGAGTCCCATTAGCACCCACTATTAAATTCGAAATAAATCCAAGAATTTTTCAAATGCTCCCTAATTTTCATAGATTGCTTTTAGAGAAACCTCATCAGCACTTAGAAAAATTTCATATGGTCTGTGATTTAGTTAATCTCCCTCAAGTTACACCAGAAATTATTAAGATGGAATTATTCCCTCATACACTTAGGGACAAAGCTAGTCATTGGCTATCCACAATAGATAGAAAATTAACTAGCTGGAAAGATATAGAATAGGCCTTTCTTTGAAAATTTTATCCTTTAGGAAAAACTCAAAATATGAGAAAATATATATTGAGTTTTTCTCAAAGATCAGGAGAAACTTTGCATGAGACATGAGAAAATTTCAAAGAATTACTTAGAAAGTATCCTCATCATGTTATACCCAAGTGGCAGCTCAATAGATTTTTTTATGATGGATTATTAGAACAACATAGAAATATAGTTAATTCTATATGTGGAGGAGCTTTTATGGAGAAAACTCTTGATGAGATTTACAATCTTTATGAGAATTTAAGTGAAAATTCTAGAGATCAAGCCTCTTTTGAATTATATGAGAGAGATAAGAAGAGAGGAATTTATGAATTATATCATGATGATGATTCTAAACTTAGAAATGAGGTTAATTAGATTAATCAAAGATTAGATAAAATTGATTTACTTATTGACAATATTAGAAAGCCTTTTAACCCTTAACTTAATTCGAATAATACATGTCCTATGTATGGTGAAAATAATTATTCTGAATTTCAATGTTAAAATTTAGATCAATCATTTCACCCTATGCAAGAACAAGTGTAAGTAGCTCACGGTTTTAATATAAATAGGGAACATTTTTCAAATTCTTATAATCTTAATTGGAGGAATAATTTTTCATAGAGAGACCAAAATAATATTCAAAATCCAGAAGCACTTAGACCCAATTCAAACTCTGAATTTCATCCAAAATAAGAAAATAGATTTCAAAAAAATCAGCCCTCTCAAACCCAACCTGATGCTATGGAAATGATGCAGCAAATGAGCCAAATGATGCAACAAACTATGAATCAAATGATGCAGTACCAGAAAGAAATTATAGAGGCCCTTGGGAATAAAAGAGAAGAGGGACAGCTACCTAGTCAGTCCATAGAAAATTCAAAAAATTGTCCAACAATAAGATTTCAGCAAGAAGAGTCTAGCTGGATAAATTTAGAAAAAAACCCACGAAATGAAAACGTTAAGATAGTGAATATATTGAGTGAGAATATTTTACCTGATCCTTATTTCCAATTATTAGAAGAAATTGATGATCTATTAGAAGTAAATGAGAATATTAAGGCCAAAAATATAGTAGCAGAAAATTTAAATAAAATCATTTATTACTCACAATTGATGAATGAATATAGTGAGGATGATGAGGAGAAAGAACCCTTAGATAAAGAAACAGCAACTGATCATAGAAAAATCATCCAAATTTTAGTAGAAGGGAGTAAGGACAGAAATGAAGAAAAATATATTTCAAGTGAGGAAAAATCAATTGATTTGGGAGATGTAAGAGACGAAATTAATGAATCTAATCATAATTTTTCAGCCATGGATGTTGATTGTGAGGATGATGATGTATATCATATATCAAAATTAAAAGATAGCTCTTGGGAAGATGAAGAATTTGATGAGTTGAGAAACGAAAAGCTAGAAAAAAATTGATTCAACTAATGGGAAGAAACAAAAATAATAGATATGAATATAGAGATAATTTTGGAGGAGAAAATTTGAATTTTACTGAATTCATTAGATTTGAGATTAAAGAAGACACTCTTTCCATCCTTCAAAACCCACAGCCCATTAGAATTATTTCTAAGCTTGAAATATTTCACTCCTCGCAAATTGAACAAATATGTATGGAAGATAAAATGGAGCAAGGGAAGATTATGCAGATAAAAGAAGACATTAAGAAATGGGTGAGTGGAAGAATAAGAGATACCAATTTAGATGAAAAAAATTTAGATTGGGCAAGAGCTAATTTGAAAATTATATGGCCTGATCACATTTTATGGTTTATTAATATAAAGTATTTATTAATGAATGAGAGCCTAACAAAACAAGGTAGAAATAAGAAAAGATTCTTTTCAAAATGGAAATTATTTTTGGGAAAAATTTGTTAATTTTCATTTTGTTTTGGCTGAAAGTATGTCAAGGTATATATATGAAGTATATGAATTTATGCTAAATCTGAAAAAGAATATCATGAAACTTACCTTGGGATACAAATATATTTTGATGGCCATAGATCATCTTATATGATATAAGAGTTGTCCAGCTGGAGACATTAAATTCAGCGCTGCATGGGAGGCAACCCATGGTTTTTATTTTACTCTGTTTGATTTTTTTTTTAAGCTCTGTTTTTTTTAGAATTTCGCAGTACTTGTTTCTGTATTTGTTTTTTTTCGAAAAAGTGCAGGAGGAGGAGTGTAAGATGAAGTGGAAAATTAAAAAAAAGGTTGAGGTGATGTCTTTTTGAGCTTCATCATTTATGAAAATATTTTTAATGCTTAACTTTGCAGATATGCATACTTCACTTGAAAATTATATTTTCTGCATATTCTATTTTGAGTTTTTTGTGTCATTGAGGACAATGTCTTTTTTAAGTTGGGGGGTGAAATATTCATTATTAATTTATACAATAGGACGATTAAGAACATGTGTTTCATTTTATTCAACTTAGAATAGCAACTAAAAAGATAAAAATAAAATAAAATTCAGAAAAATTGCAACATCTATTTTCTGGTTTTCTGTCAAAAACAACAGACTGTCAAAAACAGCAGACAAAAAATAGCCCAAAACTTGAAATTCTAGAAGATCCTTTTCTCACATTTCAATCCCCTAGATATGTATTACTGAAATTCGAAATTACAGCTATAAAGAAGATAGTTTTGATTTATTTTTGACAAATTTATTACTGCTAAAAGTAGAATTGAAAATAGAAAACAGAATTGTCAGAACTATCAAATTTACAAATTCCTTACATCATATTACATGCATGAAAAATTAAATCAATTATATTGATTGATACCAAAAGATACTAGGAAGATTATTATTGAGTCAAAAGAATAATCTAGTAGCATAAAATGTTGGAATACTCCTTGGATACATGATAGATAACATGGATTTGATTTTACAGATTTTCACTTCATGATCTTGATGAATAGTATTTACTTGATGTGAAAATTTGATTGATCATTTGAGTTTAATGGAGATTTTTGCACTCTGATCTATAGGACTTGTGAGGAGAAATCACTTATTTCAAAAAAAAAAGAAGAGAGAGCAATGTGAAAAATCTAGAAACGAAGAGTACACATGGAGGGTGTGAGACATCATTCTCATTGTAAAAAATCGTGCATAGAAAAACACTTGCTGAAAAATAAGTGGATAAAGTGAAAGCCCTGAAAATGAAGAGTACACATAGAGAGTGTGAGACATCATTCTTATTGTCGAAATTTGTCTACAGGAAAAGCTACTTATCCACTATTTATAAAAAAAAGAAAATAAAAAAGAAAGAAGAAATATAGTGCAAACTTCAAAAATCAAGTCATAGAAAAGGGAAATGTAAGATCAATATTATTATTGGATGAGTATTGATAATTAGAACATCTTGTAAATACACCTATGAGTGAAGAAGTGATAAAGATGTGAATAGAAGAAGTGAAGTCTAGATTGTTATTCCAAGGAGTGTTTAAACATTTAAGTGCTTGACATCATTCTTAAATGCTTGATATAAGAATCCAAAGTGTTTAAAGGTGCATCATTTCTAATTATATTATTTTTTTCTGTATTGAAATATGATGTTTGAGATTTGTAAAATTTTATTTTCGTAATTTCATTCCTAAGGGACTAGCAATGATTTAAGTTGGGGGGTGTGATAAGTCTTCATTATCATGAGTTAATAATTAGTAAATAATATAGTTTTAGCCTTAACTCATGATAAATAGACTTATATTTGTGTTAAAGAATGATTTTTGGTTTTCAATTGATTAACGTGAATTTTTGGGTAATTATGTGATTTTATATGAATTTTACAGTCTTACCTTTGAGATAAATGAAGAACAAGAAATAAAAATAAAAAATATTGCAAAATGAGGGGGACCCGCTGGCCAGCCGGGCCCGTGAGCGGGTCAGAAGCGTAGTTAGGGAGTAGCCGCGAGTAGGGGCTTGAGCGGCTTAGCTTGGACCGGTAGGGGCACGTGTGCGCCACACCCCTTCCACGTCACTAGTGGCCAGCCGGCTGTGGGGCAAGGAGTGGTCGTACACGCGAGAGAAGGGACTTTGCTTGCAAAGCTAACATTACTATATACTCACCCGAAAAATCGGCACACAACCGATGTGGGACTAAACCCGCGTCACACCTTCCTCATAGGTGGGCGACCGGCACGAGTTCGAATCCTTCTAGAGTCAAAATTCATATATTTTTATTTGATTATCGCAACTTTCCTGTAGATTGCTGGTGAAGGATTAAGCAACGAGAATCGCTGGATCATCGGCAAAAATCTCGTCAACGCGATTCGCAGAACATTGCTACTAAAATTGTTGAACGATTCGCGATAAAAGGATCGCGAATCCATCGAGTAAATCATCTCCGATTGATCGACGAACAAGCCGTCGTTGGGAAAAGGACGATCCGCCAAGAGACCAGTCGCCACCTCCTGAGAGCGTACTAGATGCGATGAAGAGCCTCCTCTTGCTGCGTGGACCTAAGGATGAAGCTCCCTGACACGCGCCCCACCTCCATTCAGCTCCTCTCTATCGGGTGACAGCCGCCGGAGAGCCGTAAAGTCGCCATTTTTCTACTCTGTCGGGTGACAACCGCCGGAGATGATTCGACGACCCACTTCATTGATCTCTAGACTTCGCAAGAAGATCTAGAGATTGCCCACGTCATCTTTGTTCAAGGAGAGCCTTCGAGGCCGTGGACACTGCACGACGATCCTCCCAAACGCTCAGGATTTTGGTGCATCGCCGACGCATCGCTGTCGCGACGCCGAAACTCTATTTTCCTGCTTTCAATTTAATTTACGCTTCATTTAGTGATACTTTGTGTGATTTTAATTTACCAAACTATACTTCATTCAATTACGATTCTTCTGGCTTTTACAGATCTTAATTTGATTAATTAAGTCGTCTGTAATCACTTACGTAAGTATCGCCGGGCAGAACTCTATTTCTGCTTGATTCGCATTCGCCGGGCGCTGACATCATCCTAACGTCCGCACCCTTATTTTCTTTTTTTTTGTGAATTTTAAATATATTTCCTTTTTATTTCCTAGTATAAAATTTGTAAGAAAATTGTATTCATTGAGAAAAAATTTGAATAATTACCATATATTATATTACATTCCTATGATCGACCTAGAAAATTACCGCTATTTTTGGAATTTTTATTGAATTATAATTGATATATTTATTTAGAAATACTTCTCAATATTTAAAAATTCATATTTTCTAGTTTTATAAATTTTATATTTGCGTGATGTAATATACAATGACTGAGTCATGTCAATGGTCCATATCTCCTTGAGACAATTGATCAATATGGGGCAGCAATAATCAAAGATCTGAAAATAGGTGTAAGGTTTAAAGTTAATGAATATTGGTTCAAACATACTTGGAACCTGAACAAGAACAAGAAATTGAAAGAGTAAATTTGTTAGAATTGATCTAAGATTACATGTGTCTGGCTGAAGATGTTAAACTTAGCGTTGATTGGGAGGCAACCTAATAATTTTATTTTTACAAAATTTAATTTGTGTTTTGTAGATAATAAATTTAGAATTTCGTTGCTCCTTATTTTATTTCAATAGTACCTCATACATCTATGTTTTATCATGTTATACTTGCTGATTTATGAGTAAATATCTATTGCTTCACAATTTAATTTGATAATATATGTCATGTCATTGAGGATAATTTCAATTTTAATTAGAGGGAGAAAAGAAAATTCAGGTAGATTTATTTCATGAATAATTATTACAAAAGGAAAATTTAAAACTAATATTGATGAATTCATGGATTTCTATATTTTTCCTATAAGATGGTATATTCATTTAAGGCTAAAGTGTGTTAGATTTAGTGATTGCAAGTGATAAAAAAAAATGTAGTATATGGAAGGATGAAATATTTTCAGAATATATCTTGATGATCATGATCCATATGTTATGAATTCACATTTCGAATTAGTAGGAGTCATGAAGTTGAATGTGATGAGGTTGAAATTGCATAAAAATTATTGGAAGCTAGACATTCTTAGTATGAGGAACCTAAGTACTTGACCATTTGTCTTATATATATAGATAAAAAACAAATCATCATATGATAGAGTTTAAGACTCAACTCATGGAAAAATATATATGAGGATTTCCCACTTGTCCCATAAAGACTTTTCTATATGTGAGACTAGGACAAGATAAAAAAAAAGTGAGTGCAAATGCTTCTCTGGAGATTTCCCACTTGTCTCACAAAGGCTTTCCACATGTGAGATTTAGACATGAAAAAGAAGCTATATGGGGAAAGTTACCTACTTATGATGTTTATAATAAAAAAAAGAAAAAAATAAGAAGAGAGAAATGGAATACGCTACTTGGGTGCACGAATCTAGAAGAGAATGCTGAAGATAGCTTGAAAACTTGAGTAAACTTCTAATCATTTAATTAGTGATTTCTGAAAATGAAAGATGTTGAATTTCATGCATTGAAGAGAATGAAACTATTTGAATCACATGAATATCTGAATATTTATCTGAATGCCATCTCTAGTGGAAAAATGAGAAAATAAATGATTCATGTAAAAGAATTAATAAATAGCTTTAACTTTGTTAAGTATTTTGCTTTTTGCTAGGGACTACCAAATTTCAAAGTTGGGGGTATTTGTTAAAGCTAGATTTATGTCTTTTAATTAGTTTTATTATTTGATTTTATTTTTTAAACTTTCAGAATAAATATAGGATATATTGTTAATTTTAAAAGTCTGAAGTTAAAATACTTAGCATAATTTTTATTTATTAAAAAAATATATATAAATATAAAAAAAAACTTCCATCGGCTGCCAAGCTGGCACTCAACAACTGATGTAGAGGGGGGACAATGGTTGAGCAGGTAGACCCAAACTAGGGGAGCCACAAGTTGGGCTCAAGTGGCAAAGGCCTCACTCGATGCATGTGTGCATTGCTCCAATTCCACATCCTAGTAGCCAACTGGTCTTGGGGAAAGGAGCGCCCATACACATGTACACGTGCAAGGGCAGACCACCTTGTTACCTTCTTCCAAGATGATCCTAGGCATTATTTTATTTTGGGAGAAGGGATCTCTGCTGAGAGACCGTAGCTTTAGTTTATATCCGACATACTCATCCAAAATATTTCTGATGCGGGTTAAACATTTTTGTCTATTATAATGCAACCATCTAGAGTGTGGTGTGATCCAGCAGTACGTAGGGAGCCATGTCATCTGATTAGCCTAATCCTACAGCTGGCAAACTATCACTCGATGGCAGTCACAAATACATAATCTGTTTTTCCCTCCTTTTGTGCGATCGACGTCTCCAACAATCAGCAAGCTTTTTCCTTCCTCCTTGACTGCACTCAAGGCCTTTGGCGAGTGGTCAGCTCTTTCCTTCTCCCCTTAGATGATAGTGATAGCATGGTTGACTTCTCTTTTGGCGGATCTCTCTAACAAGCGACATAAGGCTTTAGGATGATACTTTTGTGACTTTCAGTGTGATGTGACACATCTAAACGAAATCAAGCCACCACACTAGTGTCTCTAATTACCTAGGAGGCATGTTGAACTTGGGTAATGATTTATTTCCTATTTTCAATATTTACTTACCTATTTTTGTCATTTATTTACATTTTACGACAAGTTATTTTCATTTCATACACGTTTCGATTGAAATGAGTAAAATTAATTCAAAACTTGATGAATGATCTTTGTTCTTCTTTTGAATCCTCCAAAACTCATCTAACATTAAGCTAAGATTGTTTTCAACTTTTTTTCAATTGATTTTTTCAGTCTTGACATATTCATGTTCTCAACATTCTATGAATAACAAGTATGTTTCTACTTTTGAATGCAAAATCACATAGATTAAAGGTTGATTAATGAGCATGCAATGGTTAAAACAAGCTGGAGACATTCATAGTTGGCCTCATGTCATGTGTGTGAATCCTTGAGCACACATTCTTCATTTTCTCTCTTATTTCTCTCTCTCCCACTCTCGTGAGACCTCTCTTCTCTCTCCATCTCTCATGAGATCTCTCCCTTTCTCTCCCTCTCTCTCAATCAATTTTCTTCTCTCTCTCTCTCTCTCTCACTCTCACTCTTTCATGAGACCTCTCTCTCTGTCTCATGTGAGATTTCTCTCCTCTCTTTCTTTCTCTTTTACGAGAAATCTCATCCCTTCTCTCTCTTGTGAGAGCTTTCTCTCCTCTCTTTCACTCCCTTTCGCGAGAAATCTCATCCCTTCTCTCTCTCATGAGAGTTCTCTTCTTTCTTTCTTTTCCTCCTTCCTTTTCTCCACTTCCCTTTATTCTTCTCACCTCACCCTTCTATTTCATTACTTCTGTTAAATATTAATAAAATATTTAAATTTACTTTATATATAAATGAAATTAGTTTTCATGATGGATTAATCAATCTCCTTGTATTCTACTTGAGACTTCTATACTAATATTTTATTAAGTCTTAGTTATAAATATTATTAGATAGTGTGTATTTAAACACAATGAAAAGTGCACACCACTTGGGCGAGATGTACAGGTCCATGAATGAATGATTATTTGGGAGAAGCATCATTAATTGGATGTGATTACAATTATCATAAAGAAAGTCATAAAAATTAGTTTAAGATTTCTTTTTCTCATACTTATTTTGTGGGACATCAACCATCATACCATATTTTCGTATCCCACTCTTGATCAAGAGAATCTTGATCTTGAAAATAAGATCAAAATCTTCAAGATCATGCCTCATTTCTTCTCTATCTCCTAACCTATTTGCCTCTTTCTTCGACTTGAATTTCCTCCCTATCTTCTATAATAAATATTAGAATTCTGATTTCCACCATTCCTCTTTGTGAATTCAACCTCTAACGTGACTCAGTCGTTGTATATTAAATCACGTGAATCTAAAATTTATAAAACTAGAAAATATGAACTTTTAGATATTTAGAAGTATTTCTAAATAAATATATCAATTATAATTCAATAAAACTTCCAAAAATAGCGGTAATTTTATAAGTGGATCACAGAGATGTAATATAATATCTAGTAATTATCTAGAATTTTCTTCAAAGAATACTATTTTCTATGAATTTTATACTAGTAATGAAAAGAAAATATATTTAAAATTCACAAAAAAGGGAAATAAGGGTGCAGATGTCAAGATGATGTCAACACTCGGCGAACGCAAATTGGGCAGAAATAGAGTTCCACCCGATGATTCTTACATAAGTAGTTACAGATGATTTAATTAATCAAATTAAAATCTGTAAAAGCCAAAAGAAGTGTAATTGAACGAAGTATATTTTGGTAAATTAAAATCACACAAATTATCACTAAATGAATCGTAAAGTAAGTTGAAAGCAAGAAAATAGAGTTCCGACGTTGCGACCGCGATGTGTTGGCGATGCACTAAAATCCTAAGTGTTCGGGAGGATTGTCATGTAGTGTCCACGGCCACGAAGGCTCTCCTTGGACAAAGACGACGTGGGCAATCTTTAGATCTCCTTGTGAAGTCTAGAGATTAATGAAGTGGGTCGTCGAATCGTCTCTAGCGGCTGTCACTCGGTGGAGTAGAAAAATGGTGACTTTGTGGCTTTCCCGTGGCTGTCACCCGATGGAGAGGAGTTGGATGGAGGTGGAGCATGTGTTAGGGAACTTCATCCTCAGGTCTACACAGCAAGAAGAGACTCTTCATCGCATCTGGTATGCTCTCAAGAGGTGGCGACTCGTCTCCTGGTAGATCATCCTCTTCCTAATGATGGTTTGTTTGTCGATCAATTAGAGATGATTTACTCGATGGATTTGCGATCCTTTTATTGTGAATCGTTCAGCAATTTTAGTAGTAATGCTCCGCAAATTATGTTGACGAGATTTTTGCCGATGATCTAGTGATTCTCATTGCTTAATCCTTCATTAGCGATTTGCAAGAAAGTCACGATATTTAGATAAAAATATTTAACTTTTGACTCTAGGAGGATTTGAACCCGTGTCGATTGCCCTCCCCTTCTAAGGAAGGTGTGATGGGAGTTTAGTCCCACATCGGTTGTGCGCCGATTTTTCGAACGAATATATAGTAATGTTAGATTTCTAAGTAAGTCTCTTCTCTCACATGTACGACCACTCCTTTCCCCACAATCAGCTGGCCACTGGTGACATGGAAGAGGAGTGGCACACACATGCCCGTATCAGTCTAAGCCGCTTGAGCCCCTACTCAAACCTACTCCCTGATTGAGCTTCCAACCTACTTACGGGCCCAGCTGGCCAGCAGGCCCCCTTCATTTTGTCTTTTTTTTATTTTTTATTTGTTTTTCTTTATTTATCTCAAAAATAAAAACGTAAAATGCATATAAGTTCATATAAAATCACATAATTACCCAAAAATTCACATTAATCAACTGAAAACCACTTTTCACACTTTAACATAAATATAAGTCTATTTATCATGAGTTAACGCTAAAACTATATTATTTACTAATTATTAACTCATGATAATGAAGACTTATCACACCCCCTAACTTAAATCATTACTAGTCCCTTAGCAATGAAATTACGAAAATAAAAAATGTACAAATCTCAAACATCATATTTCAATATAGGAAAAAAAATATAATTAGAAATGATGCACCTTTAGACACTTTTGGATTCTTATATCAAGTTTTTAAGAATGATGTCAAGCACTTAAATGTTTAAATACTCCTTGGAATAACAATCTAGACTTTACTTCTTTTATTTACATCTTTATCACTTCTTCACTCATAGATGTATTTACAAGATATTTCAATTATCAATATTCATCCAAGAATAATATTGATCCTACATTTCTCTTTTCTATGGCTAGATTTTTGAAGTTTGTACTATATTTCATCCTTTTTTCTTTATATATAATAATAGATAAGTAGCTTTTTCTGTAGACAAATTTCGACAATAAGAATGATGTCTCACACCCTCCATGTGTACTCCTCATTTTTAGGGCTTTCACTTTATCCACTTATTTTACAGCAAGTGTTTTTCTATGCACAATTTTTGACAATGAGAATGATGTCTCACACCCTCCATGTGTACTCTTCGTTTCTAGATTTTTCGCATTGCTCTCTCTTTTTTTTTTTTCTGAAATAAGTGATTTCTCTTCACAAGTCCTATAGATCAAGGTGCAAAAATCTTTATTAAACTCAAATGATCAATCAAATTTTCACATCAAGTAAATACTATCCATCAAGATCATGAAGTGACAATCTGTAAAATCAAATCTATGTTATATATCATGTATCCAAGGAGTACTCCAATATTTCATGCTACTAGATCATTTTTTTGACTCAATAATAATCTTCCTAGTATCTTTTAGTATCAATTAATTTAATTGATTTAATTTTTCATGCATGTAATATGATGTAAGAGATTTATAAATTAGATAGGTCCCACAGTTCTATTTTTTATTTTTAGTTTTATTTTTAGCAACAAAAAATTTTTAAAAAATAAATCAAAACTATCCTCTTTATAGTTGTAATTTCAAATTTCAGTAATATATGTCTAGGGGATTAAAATGTGGGAAAAGAGTCTCTAGAATTTCAAATTTTGGACTATTTTTTGTCTGCTATTTTTGACAGTCTGTTGTTCCTAGTAGAAAACCAGAAAATAGATGTTGCAGTTTTTCCGAATTTTATTTTATTTTTATTTCTTTAGTTGTTGTTTTAAGTTGAATAAAATGCAAACACATGTTCTTAATCGTCCTACAGCATAAACTAATAATGAATACTTCACTCCCCAACTTAAAAATGACATTGTCCTCAATGACATAGAAAAATCGAAATAGAATATACAAAAAATATAATTTTTAAGTAAAGCATGCATATGTGCAAAGTTAAGCATTAAAAATATTTTTATAAATGATAAAGCTCAGAAAGACATCACCTCAACCTCGTTTTTAATTTTCCACTTCATCTTACACTCCTCCTATACTTTTTTGAAAGAATAAATACAGAAATAAGTACTACGAAATTCTAAGAAAAACAAAGCTAAAAAAAAATCAAACAGAATGAAATAAAAACCATGGGTTGCCCCCCATGCAGTGCTGAATTTAATGTCTTCAACTGGACAGCTCTTAGATTATTTAAGATGATCTATGGCCATCAAAATATATTTGTATCCCAAGGTAAGTTTCATGATATTCTTTTTCAGATTTAGCATAAATTCATATACTTCATATATATACCTTGACATACTTTCAGCCAAAACAAAATAAAAATTAACAAAATTTTCTCAAAAATAAATTTTCATTTTGAAAATAATCTTTCCACGTTTCTATCTTGCTTTGTAAGGCTCTCATTCATTAATAAATACTTTCTATTAATAGACTATAAAATGTGATCAGGTCATATAATTTTCAAATTAGCTCTTACTCAATCTAGATTTTTTTCATCTAAATTGATATCTCTAATTCTTCCACTCACCCATTTCTTAATGTGTTCTTTTATCTGCATAATCTTCCCCTGCTCCATTATATCTTTCATACATATTTACTCAATTTGTGAGGAGTGAAATATTTCAAGCATAGAAATAATTCTAATGGGCTGTGGGTTTTGAAGGATGGAAGGATTGTCTTCTTTAATCTTAGATCTAATGAATTCAATAAAATTCAATTTTTTTCCTCCAAAATTATCTCTATATTCATATTCATTATTTTCATTTCTCCCCATTAGTTGAATCAACTCTTTTTCAAACTTTTTGTTTCTCAAGTCAGTAAATTTGAGGTAAAAGTTTAGTAATTGTTACCCTCTTTCAATATGCTCCAGTCCTTGCCTTGCTTCTCTTCGTTCCCCTTTTTTAAAAAAAAAATCAGCAAAAAGAAAATAAAATAAGAGTTAATTTTTTTTGTGTACTCTAAGAGAAAAATAGAAAAATACTAAATATTATGCAATACATCCCCAGCAATGGTGCCAAAATTTGACGTGACTTAGTGTTGTATATTAAATCACGTAAATCTAAAATTTATAAAACTAGAAAATATGAATTTTCAAATATTTAGAAGTATTTATGAATAAATATATCATATATAATTCCATAAAACTTCCAAAAATAGTGGTAATTTTTGAAGTCAATCACAAAGATGTAATATAATAGCTGGTAACTATTCATATTTTTCCTCAAATAATACTATTTTTTATAAATTTTATACTAGTAAATGAAAAGGAACATTTAAAATTCACAAAAAAGGGAAATAAGGGTGCAGACGTTAAGATGACGTCGGTGCCTGGCGAACACGAATCGGGCAAAAATAGAGTTTTGCCTGACGATTCTTACATAAGAGATTACAAATGATTTAATCAATCAAATTAAGATCTATAAAAGTCGAAAGAATTGTAATTGAATGAAGTATATTTTGATAAATTAAAATCACACAAATTATCACTAAATGAAGCGTAAAGTAAGTTGAAAGTAGGAAAATAGAGTTCCAACATCACGACGGCGATGCGTTGGCAATGCACCGGAATCTTGAACATTCGGGAGGATTGTTGTGTAGTGTCCATGGCCACGAAGGCTATCCTTGGACAAAGACAACGTGGGCAATCTCTAGATCTCCTTGTGAAGTCTAGAGATCAATGAAGTGGGTCGTTGAATCGTCTCTGGTATTGTCACCTAATAGAGTGGAAAAATGGCGACTTTGCGGCTCTTCAGAAGCTGTCACTTGATAGAGAAGAGCTGGATGGAGGTGGGGCGTGTGTCAATGAACTTCATCCTCAGGTCTGCACAACAAGAAAAGGCTCTTCATCGCATCTAGTATGCTCTTAGAAGGTGGCAACTCGTCTCCCGGCAGATCATCCTCTTCTTGACAACGGCTTGTTCATCAATCAATCGAAGATGATTTACTCGATGGATTCGCGATCTTTTTATCACGAATTGTTTAGCAATTTTAGTAGCAATGCTCCGCGAATCGTGTTGATGAAAGTTTTGCCAATGATCTCACGATTCTCATTACTTAATCCTTCACCGACGATCTACAAGAAAGTCGCAATACTCAAATAAAAACATGTGACTTTTGACTTTAGGTGGATTCGAACCCGTGCTGGTTGCCCGCCCCTTCTGAGGAAGGTGTAACGGGGGTTTAGTCCCACATCAGTTGTGTGTCGATTTTTTGGGTGAATACATAGTAATGTTAGATTTATAAGTCCATTCTCCCTAACTGAGCTTCCAACCCGTTTCTGGGCCCAGCTGGCCAATGGGACCCCCTCATTTTGTCTTATTTTTATTTTTTATTTCTTTTTCTTTATTTATCTCAAAAATAAGACTATTAAAATCATATAAATACATATAAAATCATATAATTACCCAAAAATTTACATTAATCAACTGAAAACCACTTTTCACACTTTAACACAAATATAAGTCTATTTATCATGAGTTAAGGCTAAAACTATATTATTTACTAATTATTAACTCATGATAATGAAGACTTATCAACCCCTTAATTACACTACACATATATTGAGTGATTAAGGTCAATTATAAGTAAAATAATGATATAATTCTTTATAATTTTTAGATTTATCAACTATACTAGATGCGATGAAGAGTCTCTACTTGTTATATGAATCTAAATATGAAACTCTCTAAGATGCACTCCACCTCCACCCAACTCATCTCCACAAGGTGATAGTCATCGGAGATAATTTAACGACTTATTTTATTGATTTCTAAACTTTGCAAGAAGATTTAAAGATTACTAACATTATCCTTGTCCAATGAGAACCTTTGAGGTTATAGACATTGCACGACAATCCTTTCAAATACTCAAGATTTCAACACATCACCCTGCAATGCTGTAACTCCATTTTACTATTTTTTAACTAGTTTAATTTCCACCATCATTTTATGAACTCTAAAAGGAAATCTAGCAAATGCTTAGGTCATCCATGTTTAACGAGAGTCCTTAAGACCATGGACATTGCACGATTACTATCTTGAACACAGAATATTAACAATTATTATGAGGCCAAAACTATAACTTTCCTACTTTTAGTTTAAATTTTGCTTAATTTAGTGATATTGTGTGATTTAAAATTTTAAAACTCTTTTTCATTGAATTATGATTCTTTTGGCTTTCACAAAACTTAATTTAACTCATTAAATCATCTGTAATCAATCACGTAAGAATCATTAGACACAACTCTATTTCTATCTTATTGATGTTCATTGAAGTGCTAACATCATGCTGACATCTACAGTATTATTTCTTTTTCATAAATTTTTAAATATATTTCATATTCATCATTTAGTCATAAAATTATAAAAAATCATATTATTTTAGAAAATTTCTAAAATATTACCCAATATTATTGTACATCTCTATGATTGACTTGGAAATTCTCCACTATTTTTTTATCATTTTCTTGAATTGTAATTGATTGATTTATTCTAACATATTTCACACATGATCAACATCCATGACAATTAGTGAACTCGCTCCTTTCTCTCCTAACTACATTAAAGGCATACAATGAGTGGTCAACTCTTTCCTTCTCTCCCCAAATGATAGTGATAGTATGGTCGACCCCTCCTTTGATTAATCTCTTCGACAAGTGGTGTAGTATTTTCAAATGATACTGACGTGACTTAGTCATTATATAGTAAATCATGTAAATGTAAAATTTATAAAAGTAAAAAATATTATTTTTTAAGTATTTAGAAGTATTTATGAATAAATATATCAATTATAATTTAATAAAAGTTTCAAAAATAGTGAAAACAATTTAAGTCAATCACAAGGATGTAATAAAATATCAAATAATTTTTCAGAGTTTTCCTCAAATAATATGATTTTTTATAATTTTTTTATTAAGAAATAAAAATAAAATATACTTAAATTTCATAAAAAAAGAAAAAAAGAGTGAGAGTTAAGATGACATTAGCACCCGACAAATGCAAATCAGATAGAAATAGAGTTTCACTCGACGATTCATACATAAGTGATTATAAATATTAAGTTGAAAGTAGTAAAATAGAGTTACGGCATCACAATAATGATGTGTCGGCAATGTATCAAAATCTTGAGCATTTGAGGGGACTGTCATGTAGTGTCCACAGCCTCAAAAGCTCTCTTTAGAAAATAATGACATGGATAATCTTTAGATCTTCTTACGAAGTCAAGAGATCAACAAAATAGGTCATTAAATCATCTCTATCAGTTATCACCTGACAGAGTGAAAAAATAACAACCTTGCAGTTCTTCAGCAGTTGTCATCCAACGGAGGGGAGCTAGATGGAGGTGAGGAACATGTTAGGATGCTTGATCCTCAAGTCTATGTAGTAAGAGGAGGCTCTTCATCGCATCTGATACATTCTCAATAGATGTCGACTCATCTCTCACTAGATCGTCCTCTTCCCGATGACAACTTATTCATCGATCAATTAGAGATCCTTTATCTTACTTGCTGGATTTACGATTTATTTATCGTGAATCATTCAATAATTTTAGTAAAAATGCTTCGTGAATTGCATCAATAAGATTTTCGCCAATGATCAAGCGATTATGACGGCTTAACCCCTTGCTGGTGATTTGTAAGAAATTCATGCTTTAATTAGATAAAAATATGAGTTTTGGCTTCAATAGGATTCAAACCTGCAACGATCATCCATTGACGTGAATTAGTTGTTGTATAGTAAATAACATAAATTTAAAATTTATAATACTAGAAAATATGAATTTTCAGATATTTAGAAGTATTTATGAACAAATCTATCAAGTATAATTCAATAAAACTTCAAAAAATAGCAATAATTTTCCAGGTCGATCATGAGGATGTAATATAATATCTGATAATTATTCTGAATTTACTTCAAAGAATACTATTTTTTATGAATTTTATACTAGAAACTAAAAATTAAATATACTTAAAATTCATGAAAAAAAGAAATAAGGATGTAGACGTCAAGATGACATCAGCACCCAACAAACACGAATCAAGTGCTAGAATTCTACCCAACAATTCTTACATAAGTGATTACAGATGATTTAATTGATCAAATTAAGATCTGTAAAAGCCAAAAGAATCGTAATGGAATGAAGTATATCTTGGTAAATTTAAAATTAATAAATTATCACTAAATGAAGTAGAAATTAAGTTGAAAGTAAGAAAATAAAGTTCCAGTGTCGCGGCGGCGATGCGTCGGTGATTCACTAGAATCCTGAGTGTTTGGAAAGATTGTCGTGTAGTGTCCATGGTCTTGAAGGCTCTCTTTAGACAAAGACAACATGGACAATCTCTAAATCTCCTTGCGAAGTCTAGAGATCAATAAAATGGGTCGTCGAATCGTCTTTGGTGATTGTTACCTGGCAAAGTGGAAAAATAACAACTTTTCGACTCTCTAGTGGCTGTCATCTGATGGAGAGGAGCTGGATGGAGGTGGAGCACATGTCAGGGAGCTTCATCCTCAGGTCTGCACAATAAAAGGAGGCTCTTCATCGCATCCAGTATGCTCTCAAGAGGTGGCGACTCATCTCCTGGCATATCGTCTTCTTTTCGACAATGGCTTGTTCGTCGATCAATCAGAGATGCTTTACTCAATAAATTTGTGATCCTTTTATCGTGAATCATTTACCAATTTTAGTAACAATGCTCCACAAATTGCATTGACAAGATTTTTATCAATGATCTAGTGATTCTAGTTGCTTAATCCTTCATCAGCGATCTACAAGAAAGTCACGATAATCAAATAAAAAAATATGAGTTTTGGCTCTAGGAGGATTCAAACCTGCACTGGTTGTGCGTCAAAGTTTCGGGCAAATATATAGTAATGTTACATTTGAAAGCAAGTCCCTTTTTCGCGTGTGTACGACCACTCTTTGCCCCACAGCCAATTGGCCACTAATGATGTGGAAGGGGAGTGATGCACATGTGCCCTATCGGTCCAAGCCGCTCGAGCCCTTGCTCATGGCTACTCCCCAACTACACTTCCGACCCGCTTATGGGCCCGGCTGGTCGGTGGGTTCCCCCCATTTTATTTTATTTTTATTTTTATTTTTTTCTTTATTTATCTCAAAATTAAGACTATAAAAATTATATAAATTCATGTAAAATTACATAATTACCCAAAACTTCACCTTAATCAACTAAAAACTACTTTTCACACTTTAACACAAATAACTCATGATAATGAAGACTTATCATCCACCTACATGAGAGAGATTGAAATAAGTATTCTAATACCCTTATAAAGTGACATCATCATAGGTATATCACTATTATAACAAAGAAATATTTTAGGTATTAAAATAAATAAAATTATTTCAGAGAAGGTGTGATGTGAGTTTAATCTCTCATCGATTGTACGCTGAAGTTTTGGGCGTATATATAGTAATAGCACATTTCCAAGTAATGAGTTCCTTTCTTTTACATGTATGACCACTCCTTGCCCCATAGCTGACTGGCCACTAGTGACGTGGAAGGGGATTGGCGCACATGTGACCCCACCGGTCCATAGTCACTCAAGCCCTTGCTCATGGCTCCACCTAATTACGCTTCCAACCTACTTGTAGGCCCAATTGGTCGGTGGGTCCCTCCCTTTTTATATTTTTTATTTAAATTTCTTTTTCTTTATTTATCTCACAAATATGACTATAAAAATCATATAAATTCATATAAAATCACATAATAAGCCAAAAAAATTATAAATAAAAAATTAATTTTCATTATTTAACATAAATATAAGTCTATTTATCATGAGTTAAAGCTAAGACTTTATTATTTATTAATTATTAACTCATGATAATGAAAACTTATGAAATACCTTTGTGACTTTTGTCATAGTGTAACTCGACCTGACAAAACCAAGCCACCACATCAACATCTCTAGTTGCTCAAGAGTTAAACTAACATTGGGCAACATTTATTTAATTTTTCTACTTACTATTCATAGAGAAAAAAAGTGATAAACTCAAAGGCACAACACTATAAGATAAACTAAGAAAATAACCAAAATTTAGTCTAAAACTAATTATAAGAGTATCCCTTAATTAATGGGTGATACTTAATAATTATTTTCAAAGTCAATATCTAGAAAATTATTTATTTATAATAATTACTCCTTTCAATGTTCCAAGCAATTAAAAATCATTCTTAGATGAAAATTATTTTTCCTCTCACATGCATTTGAGTGCCTCCACACCACAAGACACACACATTTGTCTCAAGGAATTCATGCCACTAGAAACCTTAAGCTCACTGATAAGTCTTCATTATCATGAGTTAATAATTAGTAAATAATATAGTTTTAGCCTTAACTCATGATAAATAGACTTATATTTGTGTTAAAGCATGAAAAGTGGTTTTCAGTTGATTAACGTGAATTTTTGGGTAATTATGTGATTTTATACGATTTTTACAGTCTGAGTTTTGAGATAAAACGAAGAACAAGAAATAAAAATAAAAATATTGCAAAATGGGGGGATCCGCCAGCCAGCCGGGCCTGCAAGCAGGTCGGAAGCGTAGTCGGGGAGTAGCCGCGAGCAGGGGCTGGAGCGGCTTGCTTGGATCGATAGGGGCACGTGTGCGCCACTCCCCTTCCACGTCACCGGTGGTCAGCCGGCTGTGGGGCAAGGAGTGGTCGTACACGCGAGAGGACTTTGCCTAGAAAGCTAACTTTACTATATAATCGCCCGAATAATCCGCACACAACCGATGTGGGACTAAATCCACCTTGTTCAGGGGCGGGCGACCGCCGCGGGTTCGAATCCTCCCAGAGTCAAAATTCATATATTTTTAACTGATTATCGCGACTTTCCTGCAGATCGCCGGTAAAGGATTAAGCAACCGGAATCGCTAGATCATCGGCAAAAATCTCGTCAACGCGATTCGCGGAGCATTGCTACTAAAATTTCTGAACGATTCGCGATAAAAGGATCGCAATCCATCGAGTAAATCATCTCCGATTGATCGACGAACAAGCCGTCGTCGGGAAGAGGACGATCCGCCGGGAGACCAGTCGCCACCTCCTGAGAGCGTACCAGATGCGATGAAGAGCCTCCTCTTGCTGCGCGGACCTGAGGATGAAGCTCCCTAACACGCGCCTCACCTCCATCCAGCCCCTCTCCGTCGGGTGACAGCCGCCGGAGAGCCGCAAAGTCGCCGTTTTTCCGCTCCGCCGGGTGACAGCCGCCGGAGACGATTCGACGACCCACTTCATTGGTCTCTAGACTTCGCGAGAAGATCTAGAGATTGCCCACGTCGTCTTTGTCCAAGGAGAGCCTTCGAGGCCGTGGACACTGCACGACGACCCTCCCGAACGCTCAGGATTCCGGTGCATCGCCGACGCGTCGCCGTCGCGACGCCGGAACTCTGTTTTCCTGCTTTATCTAGAGATTGCCCAAGTCGTCTTTGTCCAAGGAGAGCCTTCGAGGCCGTGGACACTGCACGACGATCCTCCCGAACGCTCAGGATTCCGTTGCATTGCCGACGCATCGCCGTCGCGACGCCGGAACTCTGTTTTCCTGCTTTCAATTTAATTTACGCTTCATTTAGTGATACTTTGTTGATTTTTATTTACCAAACTATATTTCGGTCAATTACGATTCTTCCGGCTTTTACAGATCTTAATTTGATTAATTGAGTCGTCTGTAATCGCCTACGTAAGAATCACCAAGCGGAACTCTGTTTCCGCCTGATTCGCATTCGCCGGGCGCTGATGTCATCCTGACGTCCGCACCCTTATTTCCTTTTTTTTGTGAATTTTAAATATATTTCCTTTTTATTTCCTAGTATAAAATTCGTAAGAAAATCGTACTCATTGAGAAAAATTCTGAATAATTACCAGATATTATATTACATCCCTGTGATCGACTTGGAAAATTACCACTATTTTTGAGATTTTTATTGAATTATAATTGATCTATTTATTTTGAAATATTTCTAAATATCCGAAAATTCGTATTTTCTAGTTTTATAAATTTTAAATTTGCGTGATTCAACATACAACAACTGAGTCACGTCACTCACTTTTAAGGACATTTAATTGTTCTTAATTTATATTTGTGTTTTTCTAGTACTCGAGTCAAAAAGATGGTGTGCACTTATCATTGTATTTAAATACACACTATCTAATAATATTTATATCTAAGACTTAATAAAATATTACTATAGAAGTAAGTCTTAGGTAGAACACAAGGAGATTGATTAATCCGTCGTGAAAAATAATTTAATTTATATATATATTGATTTTAGTGTTTTATTAATATTTAACAAAAATAATGAAATAGAAGAGGTAAGGTCAAAAGAATAAAAGAAGGAAAATGGAGAAAAGAAAGGAGGAATAAGAGAGAAATCTCACAGAGAGAGAGAGAGAGAAAGGGAGAGAGAGAAAGAGAGAGAGAGAGAGAGAGAAGGAGAGAGAGGGAGATCAATTAAGAGAGAGGGAGAAAAAAGGAGAGATCTCACAAGAGACAGAGAGAGAAGAGAGGTCTCATGAGATAGGTAAAAGAGAAATAAGACGAAAATGAAGAAAGAGAGAAATATGATTAACCTATTTTCTCTAACAAATGTGTGCTCGAGGATTCACACGCATGATATGAGGTCAGCCGTGAGTTGCTCCAGTTGTTTTAACAATTGAACGCTCATTAATCAGCCTTTAACCTTGGTGATTTCGCATTCAAAAATAAAAAAATACTTATTATTCGTGGAAAGTTAGGAACGTGAATACGTCAAGATTTGACTGCAAAAATCAATAGAATATAAGTTGAAAATGATCTTAACTTGATCTCATATGAGTTTTAGAAGATTCAAGAGAAAAATGAAGATTATTCATCAAGTTTTGAATTAGTTTTACTCATTTCAATTGAAATGTGCATGAAATGGAAAGAACTTACCGTAAAATGTAAATAAATGACAAAAGCATGTAAGTAAATGCTAAATAGGAAATAAATCATTGTCCTAGTTTAGTCTACCTTTTGGGCAACTAGAGACACCATTGTGGCCGCTTGGTTTTGTCCGATCGTGCCACACCACGCTGAAAGTTGCAGAAATATTAGTTGGAAGCGTTGCACCCTTCTGTCGGAGAGATCCGCCGAAAGAGGAGTCAACCACGTTGTCACTGTCATCTGGAGAGAAAAGAGAAGAGTTGACCACTCACCGAAAGCCTTGAGTGCAGTTAGAGAAGGAAGGAACAAGCTTGCCGATCATCGAAGACGTTGATCGAGCAAAAGGAGAAAGAACGGATTGTCATATTCACGACTAATGTCGGGATTTTAAAGATAGTCAATAATGTCTATTTTACTAGATAATAATTAATTATTGTCTTTATATCCCTAATAGTGATATGTGCAAGAACTTAAGTTCTAGTATTATGGTGCTTTGAGAGCCACTAGATCAAATCAGCTTAGTCACGTCACACATTGAGCGACATAGGCCAAAGATTTTTTTTTATTTTTTTATTTTTTTATTTTAATAAAAAAAATTACTCTAAGAACTTTAACTTCATACTATTAAAATGAACAATTTATCATATATTTATTCTACAAGTTAACAAAATAAAATCAAATAATAAAACTAATTAAAACACAAAAATCTAGCTTTATTTAGACACTTACACATTTGTCTTGAGGAATTCATGCCACTAGAAACCTTAAGCTCACTTTTAATGGAGGACCACAAATCTAGGATGAAAATTCTTTTGGAAACACTTGGATTGATTAGAGTCAAGCTAAAACTTGTGTTCAACAATTATTCTTACTTGAGTTATGAGAATCTTAGGGCAATGTTTTTAAAAAATGGAGTATGCTAAGTGAAATGAGGCATAATAAATCATTGTCTTAATGCTTTGATAGAAATCATATTTCAGGGTGAAATTCAAAAAAGACCAATTCATCAACTCTCTCTCTCTCTCTCTCTCTCTCTCTCTCTCTCTCTCTCTCTCTCTCTCTCTCTCTCTCTCTCTCTCTCTCTCTCTCTCTCTCTCTCTCTCTCTCTTAGTTTTATCTCCTTAAACCAACAAAGTAGATTCATATGAAAATAATTTTTTTCATACAAATAGCCATCAAGTCAACCCAAGTGAAAATTAAAATCAAAGGTATACTCATACCAAAAGATGGAGGATCTAAAAGGTTAGCCTTCATGAAAAAGGAGCACCAGCTCCTCAGCTCGACAAAAGGACCTAATCAAAGCATTTATTTTATAGTACCATTTATTCTAAGCACCCTTTTTCAAAATATCCAACAGTATTTAATCACCTCTCTTCTTAGTTTTATTTTTTGAAAAAAAGTTGGAGAGTATATCTTCATAATATATATAAACTGATCAATACTTAATGCACTGTATTTGTTGACCTCATTGTTCTAACAAAGAGATTAGAAAGGCTCATAAAGAGAGAAGCTTGGAAATAAATAGGTTATATCCTCTCAAATAAAGTTCCATTTAAAATACTTGAGAGAATTATATTAAAAATAAATTTACATATATTATATGATTTTTCAATTTTTATGTGTTTCTTTTTTCAGACAATGGTCAGTTTTAAAAGCTTCAAAACAAATTATAAATATGAATTTTTAAAATCTTAATTATTATAGTGCTTTAGAATGTATGTTGGGGAGGTTAACCAACATGACTAAATGAACCTTTTTTGCTTTGGACCTTCAAATTGAACTTGAGAGAAAAGATTTGTTGTTTATGACAAAAGCTTATGACTAGATATTTTAAGTGTGGACATTGTGTACATCCACTTAAAGCTTATAAGTAGCACAGCTTAGGGTTGAGTTAGACTCAAAAACCCTAAAGTTTCTAAGCATTAAAATGGGGCCTAAAAACCTGGTCAATGATTTTGTCACACTTTTCTCCTTTGGCATCAAAGGGTCAAATTCAATAATTGCCCTAATAGATGAGCATTAATCATGTAGAGTCTGACCTCAACTTCTAAGTTGGGCAGCTGCTAAGCACTAAAAATCTAGATAAAGATAAAGATATATGTACAACCATATATATAGAGTGGGAGAGAGAGAGAGATGCTTATTAATTTTTTCTTTGTGTTTGACAGTTGTTTCAATGATGATTAAACCATCAACATAATCAGTCAAGGAAATCGAAATCAGCCACATAGAGAGATGAGAGAGAGAGATAGAGAGAGAGGGAAGGAGGGAGAGAGATAGGGAGGAAGACAGGGAGAGAGAGAGAGAGAATGGGCATTCCTCAACCTAGTCAAAAAAATGAGGATGTCCTCTACTAGAAAGTTTTTGATGTCACATTGAACCCCCTCATACCAAATGAGCAACTATAGGCAAATGAGCAAAAGAGTCAAAACATTACACAAGTTCAATGCTCTCAACAAAACCATCTAATAACAAAACAGTATAGCAATCTTCATTCTTCTTCTGAATCCTCTAAAACTCATTTGAGATCAAGTTAAGATTATTTTCAACTTATTTCTATTAATTTTTACAATTGAATCTCGACATATTCATGTTATCAGCGTTCCATGAATAACAAGTATTTTTCTATTTTTGAATAGAAAATCAATGAGTTTAAGGCTACTTAATGATCATTTAATTGTTAAAATAATGTGGAGTAAATCACGTAAATGTAAAATTTATAAACCAAAAAATACTAATTTTAGATATTTAAAATTATTTTTAAAAAAAGAAATTAATTATAATTTAATAAAAGTTTTAAAAATAGTGGTAATTTTCTAAGTCAATCACATGGATATAATATAATATCTAATAATATTTCAGATTTTTTCATGAAAAATATATTTTTATATAAATTTTAGACTAAGAAGTGAAAATAAAATATATTTAAAATTCGTGAAAAAGGAAATAAGGGTTGTGGACTTCAGGATGACGTTAGCATTTGACAAACATGAATCGGGAAAAAATAGAGTTCCATCTAGTGATTCTTATATAAGTAATTACATATGATTTAATTGGTCAAATTAAGGTGTGTAAAAGCCAAAAGAATTGTAATTAAATGAAGAGTAGTTTGAAAATTTTAAATCACATAAATTATCTCTAAATGAAGTAAAAATTTAGTTAAAAGTAGGAAAGATAGTTTCAGCCTCATGACAACAATCGTCAAAATTTTGTGTGTTTGAAAGAATTATCAAACAATGTCAATGGCCTCAAAGGCTCTCTTTAGACATGGACGACCTAGGCATTTGTGGGATCTCCTTTCGAAGTCTAAAACTTGATGGTGAAAGTTAAACTA